GTTCAAACAGTAAAAGTGACGCCACCACGTTATTTCTTTAGAAAAATACTCGAAATGAACTTTAGATAAAGGTATCAATGATAATTTTAGCACTTTTGAAAAATTCTGATGCATAATTAAAGCTCACACCTGCACACGAGTGTACTAGTTCAAACAGTAAAAGTGACGCCACCAAAATTCAAACTTGATCTGTGTTTTGTAGTAATAAGTATTGTGTATAAGATTCATAACTTTTTATTGAGGCAAGCTAAAGTTAAAGAACGTAAACGAAAAATTCAGCGATTTTTCGATTTGTAAAGGGGCATAACTCTAGAACGGTAAAAGTGACACCACCAAAATTCAAACTTGATCTGTGTTTTGTAGTACATGTAATAAGCATTGTGTATAAGTTTCATAACATTTGGTCGAGGCAAACTTAAGTTAGGGAATGGAAACCAATTTTGGGATGTACGGACAAGGGTAAAGCTTAATGCCCCCTCCGCAACAGCGGGGGCTCAAAAATAGTTTACCTGTTGCCTGAACAGGTAAATTTCAGCTGTCAGACAACTGATTAGCCTTGATTGTAATGAGAGGGTATTAAAGTAGGGTTTGATTTGATAGTGATTATTCATCATGTCACTTTTATGACTGGAAACGTGTGGCTGTTTAAGGCAAGAGGTCAGGTCAAAAAGATCACATAAACCTCGATTTTTTTCTGAATCATTTTAAAATGGCAAATCTATAGATGTGCAGTTCAGGCTCGGCACAATAAGTCAAATAAACAATTTACTGATCAAGTCCGGACAATATGACCGTTTTGGAAGCCCTGCATTAAACGGCATCAAAATTTTTGCAGTAGTATAAAAACTGAACTTTGACCAGCAAACATGAAAATGATGTCAAAGTCAGATAAAGCCGGCCAGACTGACATGTTCTCCTTACAATCATTCCATACACCACATATAGTTGACATACTGCTTATAGTTTTTGAGAAACAGACCTGATTACGTAACTTTTACCTCAGTGATCCATGAAATGAGGTAGGGGTTAGGTGAACCCTGTCTGATGGACATCATCGTCATGTAGACATGGCAAGGAACCCATATACCAAATATAGATATCATTTACTCATAATAAGTGAAAAATTCACATGACAAAAAAACTTATTATTTTTCAAGCAGTCGCTGAACCATGAAAATGAGTTCAAAATCAATGGACATAAGACAGATGGAAACTTTGTAACATAAGGTATCTGCATACATGGTATGAAGCATCCAGGTCTTCTACCTTCTGAAATATAAAAGCTTTATACAAATAGTTTATGCTGCTGCTGGATACTGCAGTCTTCACGCTTAACCACAGACCCAGCTGCCCAGGCTTGTAAATATGCTGTTGGGCCTGTAAAAATCATCTCTACAGACCAACAGAATCTAACAAAATTTTCCATAAAGACAAAAATTGAGCCCTGGGCCTGTAGATTTAAGAGTTTATCATTTAGACTGGGATAGTAATCCCTTTGTCGCACATAATGCGACTCCAGTCATAGACCAGTAAAAAAGGATCTTCTTCCTTATAATCATCAACCATTCAACTGGATATTTTCAGTTATTAGTTAGAGAAGTGTTCTTCTAATAATTTCTTATACCATCCTGATAAACAGGAAATTATGAGATACCATCTTGTTTCTAGAAAAAAAGCATCACATCCATAACACTATCTATAAGAAACTAAGTTCAGATAGCATCACATTACCATGATGCTAAATAAAGGCAACAGTAGTATACCGCTGCTCAAGTTATAAATCGATTAAGCGAAAACAAATCCGGGTTTCAAACTAAAACCGAGGGAAACACATCAACTATAATAGAGGAAAACAACGGAACAGAATTTATATATGAAATTGAATTCAAAATTGTTTTAATAAGAATGTAATTATTTTAGACATCTTAACCTTTTTAAATGCCTTCAGAAAAATATTATAAAGACTAATTTCAATCAAAGTACAGTTATTGCAGTTTGATAAACAGAAAAATGCATTGACATGCAATTTATAAAACTTGCTTAAAAATTGATAGTGGAAGATATACAATGTGATGGACATTATAATGTCAGAAATGATTAAAGTCCACATTCCTTATCTTTATTTAATTCCCAACAAACCAAGTAATATTGGTGTAGATACAAGAGCACACATATTATATAAACATGTGTTTAATGGATAATGAATATCCTTGATTTCTTTTTAGGTTGATACTGTAATAATGATAATAATTGCATATCTGGTGGACAGTTCTCATTGGCAAACATACATGTGTACCACATATTCTTATTTCTATAAATAGCAGTTATTTTCATTAACAAAATCTGATGAACACTGATCATATCTTTCTATATTATTTAGAAAGATATGATCATGGTTCTTTGAATTGTTGTACTTGAAATTAAATGATTGTGTAAGTGTGTGTAGTACTATGGTTCATAATACAAATAAATCTGTACATGTATAGTTAATGTCCCTTTTCATGGGGGAGCATGCTTACATGTAAGTGCACTTTTTTTATAAACATGTACACGCCCCTCCATTTTCAAATTCTAGCTGGAACACTGTCATGTATATAACAAAACAACAGTTTTCAAAAGAACATTAATTACATGTTACATGTATAATACTCTGTGGCATTGTACAAAACAAACAAGAGGACAGCAAAAAGAGTTTGACACACACATGCATAGATAAAATTAAAGTGGTGAAAACAGAACCTGTGATCAGGTGATCCTGGTCCAACATCAAATTGGTGTCAAACGAATAATGAAGTAGGATCCTATGCTTTGAAAAAATGTAACAGTTTTAAAACTGGTTTTTCGGCAAATTATTGTTCATTTGATTTTGAGCAGATACCAGTTAGGAAAACATACGAGTTTCTGTGAACTACACTTGATATCATGTGACTTTAATAATAAAATTTTCAAAGTGCACTCACCATGAGGGCTAACGTGATTACATATTCAAGAGCCCACATAGAAAAACACTTGCAATTGGCGAGTGGATGACCGCTAATTTCAAATCCCGGTGTGGGAGCAGGGTCCGACACTAACGGTTGTCCGATTGCCGGGGGCAAGTCAATGCCGTATTCGGACAAGTAAAAACATCATCTTGGTTGTCCGATCGGGCAAGTGAAAAAAAAAGTGTTATATGATTAAAATTTCACAAAATCAATAGTGTCTGTTGTTTTGTCCATAGATTACTCAGTGATAACACCGCACGGTCAAGTAAAGTGGTTTTAACCACCCTTCAATGCGTATATTTCGTCATTTGTTCGCACTGAATTCCCCATTTTACCAAAAATAGATCACGTTTAAAAATATTGGCCAATCAGGCTGCTACGGCGTTGCTTCGTCATTATCGTTATCAATCGGGACACCACTCGGGCGTCTCCGACGCATGTTATTCCCACCGACCAATGGATAGCGGAGGTCTATTTTCGTTGTTCTAACTTTAGAATTTGACATCGGATGTGTATTTCCCTAAGATGGAAAAACGTAAAAGCTTGAAAGAGAAAATGAAATTAAACTTTAACAAATTTGTCAGTTGTTGTCAGTTTAGCATGTAAAAGTTTGGGCATGTAGATTTCACTTTCGGACAAGTAAAAGTAATAGGGCACTTGCCCAACTGGACAAGTTGGTATAAAAGTTAATGTTGAAACCCTGGGGAGGGTGATTTTGGAGAGGGTGAAAATCACCCTTTTAATGTGCTGAAATTTCCAGCACCCTGAGTCAGGATCAAACACAGGACCTTCAGCACTGTAGCCATTGTTCATAACCATTAGACCACAAACCCAAACAATTTAAATGTTTGTTTCGTCAAATCAACAAAGAAATACATATTACTAAATTTTCCATTACCACAAAATTTATATGAACCCAATTTGGTTTGTTTTATCCATTTTCATGGTCCAGTTTATTATTACAAATTCTAGCCATTGTTTGTAACTTGTTCACATTTTCAAAGAAAAGTTTTGCAACTTGAAAATAATTTTGCTTACTGAATATTGACAACCATTTTGTGGTCAAAGGGGAGGTAACTCATAATCCATGTAAGCCTGTCAAAAATACAAGCAACTTTGTTAATTCAAATAATGGTTTCATCAGAAGTATAAATATTTTTTCTAACAAATCACTTTATTTTATGACTGATATTTAAGTTATTTCTCCCAATGACAGACTTGACCCATAAATTTAGAAACCAATATTTTTGTATTTAAACTGTAATTTAGTCAAACAATCAATTTCCTGGAGCAACCTACAACTGATACCATTGCAGGGTTTTGTTTTTACATGGCAGTAAAATGTGCATTATCTTTCTGATGATAAGTGCGTCTAATTACTAGAAGCATATCGTGACATACCTTGGATGAATCAAAATCAAAGCATTTTATTTCGGCCATTCTTGATTTATTACTGTAATATTGTATGTTTTTTTGTCTAGAATCCTACCATTAAATGTGAAACTGATAGTTAGAAGCTGACTTCGTTATCATAATGTTCAAAAAGTATGCTTCCTGTGTAAAGTTTTCTTACATTATAAAGTGATTAGTGTGAAAATATGAAATTGTTTGCCCTGAGACGAGCCTTACCTGTGCAGAATTTACATCGGTCTTTTGGTCTTTATCATAGATAATCGACACAATTTACAACATAAGTTAATTTATCAGTAAAGATTGATATGCACTGAATCCATACGTGATTAAAAGTTCTTCATGACAAGAAAAAAATAGGGAAAATTATTAAAGAATCACAACAATGACCCGCGCCAAAAATTACGATAGCCTACTCACTGCTCTATCAAAAATACGTTTCATGAAAAAGTACAACAACATTATTTGAATATGACAAATATCGTATCAAAGCACTTAGTTTTATCAACATACAATGTGTGTCATCATAAAAAGCAATGCTATTAATGTTCTGTTGTGGAATGCCAGTTTTTATGTTTTCTATTTACTTTTCTTCGGAAGAATTTGCATTGAATGAGTCTGAAAATAGTTCTCATCCGGGGCACAGGGCATCTGTCAAAATGGCTTCTACAGGCGTAAACACAAGCACGAGACGACGTGTATATGTTGTCGGTGTTGGAATGACAAAGGTGACAGTCCGTAAAAATGACAGAATTACTTTGCCATTAAGATTTTAAAAATATTAAGAAAATGAAAATACTGCAGTAATCATCTGTTTCCACAAGCAAAACATTTTTTGTAACGAAATGATGACCTTTGAACTGAGAGATCACATGTATTTTTCACAAAGCGAAATATTAATATAGAAGTTCAGTGGATCTGTTTTAAATTAATCAGAGTAAAAACAATGAATAATGATTTTTTTTTAATAATCTCCTTTTATGTCTATTTTCAGTTCTACTGAACAAAAATGCTAAACGAAATAATTGCAAAACAGTCTCTAATAATTATTGACTATTGAATATTGTCAGAAGTCCATAATGGACTTCTGGTATTGTTGATATGATTGTTGATATGTCGTCTGATTGGTTGAGTTAGGGAAGATCTTCTGTGGCTCTTTGGTATGAGTGCTCCCTTCAGATCCTGCGATTGAGGCTTCAAAATCACGCTGGTTAACCATCTGTGTATTTTAACAATATTATGGTGACCAATACACCTTATCGCTATTTGTCCGCCCCTTCTGGACTTCTCTAAGGTTTTTGTAAAATTTTGAGTTCATAATAGAAAATATCTGACCCTACAATGGAAAAGTGATTGTTGTATGACGTCAATAGTATGATTGTTGATACACATGGTAGTGTCCGTTATTCCGCCAGTCTGGTAAACCTGCCCACTCCCATTTCTTCAGTAATTGTCACTTCCATGAATATTTCGTCTGCTATTTTATTCATATGAACTGTACTTATCATCACTGCATGTCAAATTTTAAAGAAAAATCCTTTATTACGAAAATATGTAGTGATATATATAATACTGATCTTCAAGCTAACGATAATCATATTATTGCTTACAAAACTCATTTCTGACTTGAAATTTTTGTTGGATTCCCTAGAATCACTTTATTAGTGGTCTATGAAAAAATAGATCACCTTTTCATTTGCAAAATTTGTGAAAAACGCTGGTACCATCTGTGTATTTTAACAATATTATGGTGACCAATACACCTTATCGCTATTTGTCCGCCATTACTGGACTTCTCTTAGGTTCCCGTAAAATTTTGACTTCATAATAGAAAATATCTGACCCTACAATGGAAAAGTGATTGTTGTATGACGTCAATAGTATGATTGTTGATACAGTAGTGTCCGGTAATTCCGCCCGTCCAGTAAACCCGCCCACTCCCATTTCTTCATTAATTGTCACTTCCATGAATATTTCTTCTGCTATTTTATTCATATGAACTGTACTTATCATCACTGCATGTCAAATTTTAAAGAAAAATCCTTTATTACGAAAATATAGTGATATATACAATACTGTTCCTAAAGCTAACGATAATCATATTATTGCTTACAAAACTCATTTCTGACTTGAAATTATTTTTTGGATTCCCTGGAATCACTTTATTAGTGGTCTATGAATAAATAGATGACCTTTTCATTTCATAAACTTGTGATAAACCGGCCCTCCATATATATTTGCTGCGCATGGGTGGATTTACCTGACAAACAGATTTCCGATAAAAACACGATGGACCCGCTTGTTTTGTTAATTTTAAAAATTATTTCAGATATTTTTTGGGAAATGAGATAAACTACTCAAAGTTGATTTGTCAATGAAACAATTTATATTAAATTTGATACAGTTTGTATATAATTATGCAGAAATACATACCATCAAAGCTATATGTGGGCAGATTTACCGGACTGCATCTTCTTTGGCTCATTTGGTATGAGTGCTGCCTTTAGATCCTGAGATTGAGACTTCGAATCACGCTGATACCATCTGTGTATTTTAACAATATTATGGTGACCAATACACCTTATCGCTATGTGTTTTGTCCGCAATTACTGGACTTCACTAAGGTTCCCGTAAAATTTTGAGTTCATAATAGAACATATCTGACGACACAATGGAAAAGTGATTGTTGTATGACGTCAATAGTTCAAGAGGCGCAGATTCTCGGGTCAAGCGGCACAGATTTCAAAATAGCGATAAGGTCTTTAGAGCTGGAATGGATGTAAATGACATTTTTGAAAATTGTGTTCTTGCTGTGACGTTATAGTGTCTCCTGCAGCTTTTATAAAGGGCAGGGTAATTTTTTTCTCAGAGGGCACTCTTAGCGCGATTGGCTACACTTTAAGGTCACCTTATGCACGGAGGACTTCACTTATAGGGCACTCTTTACATAGATATAAAGGCACTGTAATGGATAGGGATTTAATCGAATATATCATTGTTTCATATTTATTGGTAAGAAATAAAGATATGTATATTAAATTGTTAATTTAATTTCTTTTTGTAATAAAATTATCACTTCTTGACTCAGCTGATAGAATCTTGATCATGTGCAACTGCCTCATTTCAATCAATATCATTATAAACTTTAATACTGGATCACTGAGACTGATTGTCTAAGGATGTGTTGTGAAAGTGGACTTTGCATGACCAAAAACGTATGCAATGCATTGCTTTTTTGATGCACCTGAGAAGTGCCAAATACCTTTTGGATCTCGCATGGTTATACCAATCAAAGCTACCTTGGCTCAAAACTGTACAAATAGTTTGTTGATATTCAAAGATTTGTATACCAAGACTTACTATACATATTCTTCTACTTTTCATCTTTTTTCCATCTGTGTTTTTTATGCTCCTGCCGTAGCGGTGGGAGCATGAAGTTTTACCCTTGTCTGTCAGTACGTATGAACGTACGTCCGTACGTCCCAAAATTGGTTTCCATTCTCTAACTTGAGTTTGCCTCAACCAAATGTTATGAAACTTATACACAATGCTTATTACAACAAAACACAGATCAAGTTTGAATTTTGGTGGCGTCACTTTTAAAACCGTTCTAGAGTTATGCCCCTTTATAAATCGAAAAATTGCAAAATTTTTAGTTTCAGTTCTCTAACTTAAGTTTGCCTCAACCAAATGTTATGAAACTTATACGCAATGCTTATTACCACAAAACACAGATCAAATTTGAATTTTGGTGGTGTCACTTTAACTGTTCTAGAGTTATGCCCCTTTATAAATGGAAAAATTGCAAAATTTTTAGTTTCCGTTCTCTAACTTAAGTTTGCCTCAACCAAATGTTATGAAACTTATATAATTATACACAATGCTTATTATCACAAAACACAGATCAAGTTTGAATTTTGGTGGTGTCACTTTAACCGTTCTAGAGTTATGCCCCTATATAAATGGAAAAATTGCAAAATTTTTATTTTCTTCTAAATATCAAGTAATTTTTATACGACCACAAAAAAAATTTGCGGTCGTATATTGGTATGACGTTGTCGTCCAAAGACACATTGGTTTTCGCACTCTAACTTTAGTTTAAGTGAATGGATCTCTATGAAATTTTACCATAAGGTTCAATACCACAAAAAGAAAGTTGGGATTGATTTTGGGGGTTATGGTACCAACAGTTAAGGAATTAAGGGCAAAAAAGGGGCCAAAAATAATCATTTTTGTAACTTCCAGACATAACTTGTGTGTTAGTGTATGGATCTCTCTGACATTGTACCACAAGGTTCCATATCACAAAGGGTATGCTGGGATTGATTATGGGGGTAATTGCCTCAAAATTTTAGGAATTAGGGGGCAAAAAACAAGCATTTTTCTAGTTTCATGACAATAACTTGTGTGTTAGTGTATGGATCCCTCTGAAATTGTACTGCAATGTACCATACCACAAATGGAAGGCTGGCATTGATTTTGGGGTAATTGCCTCAAAATTTTAGGAATTAGGGGCCAAAAAGGGGCAAAAAACAAGCATTTTTCTAGTTTCCGGATAATACTTTGTGTGTAAGTTTATGGATCTTTATAAAATTGTACTACAAGGTTTGGGGGTAATTGCCCGAAACGTTTAGGAATAAGGGGCCAAAAATAAGGATTTTTCTAGTTTCCAGAGAATAACTTGTGTTCAAGTGTATGGATCGCTCTGAAATTGTACTGCAAGGTACCATACCACAAAGGGAAGGCTGGGATTGATTTTGGGGGTAATTGCCTCAAAATTTTAGGAATTAGGGGCCAAAAAGGGGCATAAAACAAGCATTTTTCTATTTCCGGACAATAACTTGTGTGTAAGTTTATGGATCTTTATGAAATTGTACTACAAGGTTCCATATCACACAGGGAAAGCTGGGTTTCAGTTTGGAGGTAATTGCCCTAAACGTTTAGGAATTTGAGGCCAAAAAGGGGCCAAAAAACAAGCATTTTTCTAGTTTCCAGACAATAACTTGTGTTCAAATTTATGGATCTCTCTGAAATTGTACTGCAAGGTACCATACCACGAAGGGAAGGCTGGAATTGAGTTTGGGGGTGATGAATCATAAGGGGGTTCAAAAAATTGGGGGGGGGGGGGGGGGGGTTTTCCTTTTTTTTTCTTTAAAATTTTCCATTTTAAATTGGTTGTTTCTGATATATATATAAAAGCAAATAATAATGATATGGTTTGAATAGGTAAATTAAAATTTTTTACGTTCTTAGACCACATTCATTCTGTGTCAGAAACCTATGCTGTGTCAAATATTTGATCACAATCCAAATTCAGTGCTGTATCAAGCTTGAATGTTGTGTCCAAACTTGCCCCAACTGTTCAGGGTTCGACCTCTGCGGTCGTTTCAAGCTGCGCCCAACGGAGCATTTTATTAAAATTGGAGTTATCTTCCTTTGTCCATGATTATAGTTGAATCAACTACAATCAATGCTTTATACAATGCAATGTTTAATTTTGACTGCCACTGATAAAACACAGATCAAGTTGAATTTGGGTAGTGTCACTTTAACCATTATTGAGTTATGCCCCTTTATAAATCGAAAGATTGGAAAATTTTTAGTTTCCATCTGTAACTTAAGTTTGCCCCAACCAATCATTATGAAACCTATGCACAATATTCATTACCACAAAACACAGATCAAGTTGAATTTTGGTGGCGTCACTTTAACTGTTATCGAGTTATGCCCCTTTATAAATCGAAAAATTGCAAAATTTTTAGTTTCCATTCTGTAACTTAAGTTTGCCCCAACCAATCATTATGAAACCTATACACAATACTTATTACCACAAAACTCAGATCTAGTACAAATTTGGGTAGCGTCACTTTTATTGTTTTTGAGTTATTTCCCTTTATAATGTTGTATGCAACCAGGGGCATCATCTGTGTCCATGGGGACACATTTTCCATTTATTTTTTTCTGTTGTCTGGGTTAATTTTTCAGAATATTTTGTTTACCTAAAATGTGTGAAAGGCAACAAAATGCTTGGTCTAAGCACCAGAAGCCTATTTAAAAAAAAATAAAACCTGTTAAGTAGGATCATATTATTTATGTAAACCAGACATTTACTGAGCAAAACAAATATGAATTCAAAATGGAGAAAAATTTATCAAACATCAGTCTTCGCTCAACCACAGGCCCACCAGCCCAGCCCAGGCTTATAAAAATGCTGTCGGCCTGTAAAAATCATTTCTACAGGCCAATAGAATCTAACTAAAATTTTCTTAACATTCAGCTTCGGCCCTGTAGATTCAAAAGTTTATTGTGAAGACTGAAACATCATCTTAAATACCAATGCTCAGAAACTTGTGCCATGTCAATTATTTACACATTGTAAAATAATGATATAGATGATGTTTTAAAGATCTGGTAAAATGATTAATAGTACAGGGTGCAGTAACAATGGTACAAATTTGTATCATAGAATTTAGAATGGAAACAGGCCATGTGTCAAAAAGACATCAACCCGACCAAAGAGCAGAAGAACAGCCCAAGGCTACCATAAATATCTGTTATGTAAAACAAGATCAGATAGAGTCAGATAAAGTTGTTCATTGTAACTTAATACAACTTGCTTGTATGTAAAGGTGTGCAAATATTAAATTGATCATACATGTACACATGGTAGACATGTACCTCAATGCACCTCTAATAACTAAGAGCTGTAGAAATCTGGTACATTTACTATTGTTGTTTAATATAACACGTAAACATCAGATTTAGGATCAAGAGCAAAGACTGGTCAGATTGGAGTAAGAATAATGTGACCTCTCTCCCTTCTAAATGTTACCTTGAAAATCGGATTCTGACGATTTTCATATTGCAATAACATGTTATCACACGGAATGTGCATGGAAACTTGCAGCTGGATGTTAACTTATGCAGCCATCAATCTTACAATAATCTCTTTAATATGACAACTAAGACTATAACTTATATTTATCTTCATATTTTCAGTTTGAAAAGCCAGGCAGGAGAGATGATTTTGATTATCCACAGATGGCAAAAGAAGCAGGTAAAAAATTATACATATGTGATGCAAAACTGAGCTGGGTAAAGAACTTTTTTTTATTGCAAGCATTATATATTAACCAATTTCAAGTTAAGTTAAGATATGTAACTCACTACATTTTATACTTAAGTGAGAAGTCAATATTATACATATTGGAATACAGGCTATTTTTAGTTAAGTAAAATTATGAACAATTCATATTTTGGCTCATCTGACCTGAAGGGCCAACTGAGCTATAAGCATCACTGGACGTCCTTTTATTTTTTTTTATAGACATTTTCCTCTTAAGCTTCTTTACCAAATCAAACCAACAATGGCATGGTTAATCCTTATGCTGTCTTAATTGTAGACTTTTTAAATGTTTGTTAATATCAGCCCTGCCATTACTGAAAGCTAGTTCACTGTCAATTACAAGTAATAAATAAATCATGACTCCCAGGACTAAAACTAGAACTTAAAATATTTGCCATATACACGTGTATTTCAAGATCCGAAATTAATATTTTTGGAAAGATTGGAACTATTGTTTCAAGTCTTTCCTAAGGCACCGGCCTCTAAACCAAGAAGTAGTGCCGGTTAGCTACTAAATATACAAAATGTATACACACTGAAATATAGTTCCCTATAATTCTCATGTCTGTGTACATATGCACATATGAACTGTGAAAAATTTGGGTTATATCTTCAGAGCAGTTCATTGAAGTATGTATGTATTTAAGGTTTGTTAATTTGCAGGCTATTTTTGTCATTAGGTCCGAGTACACAGTTATTTCGTAGTGCATTTCTTTTAGACAATAAATGAAAATAAAAAAAATCCCACCTGCGCTTTCTCAATAATATTTTTACAGTGTGTTGTACTACTTTTGGGACAAATTATATCAAAATTATAGAAAACTTCATCGGCCCTAACTCAAAATATGGACAATTCTATTTTAAGGGGGTCATGAAATCTTTTGACAGCTTCTGAAGTGCTAATTTTTAACCTTTTTCAGCTGGACCAAATCACTACTTTACTTTACAATTCATGACCCAAATTTTTTTACAGTGTAATTTCATCCCCCTACTTGCTATTTGAGGCATAAAACATGAAGGAATACATTTGGAAGGGGTACTAAAAAAATTGGCAAGCAACACACTGTCCACACTAGGGACTTTATTCGTGGACAACGAAAATCAAAGGACGATAACTGTGTACTCGGACCTAATAGGTAAGAGTAATGATACAATACCAGTAGGATTGACAGCTGCCATGATCACCAAACAATCAGAGACAAGCTGGGGCCTTCATTACAATGTCCCACCTCTTTAAATCCAATCATATTGACCAAATTATTAATCATTCTCAGTCTTACATAATTAACAGACCCTTCATTATACATCTCAATACACAAATACTTAACCTCATTATTGAATACACCACAGAGTTCGCGATAAAATCGTCGGTCCTGTCTGTCCTGACTGCCAAAATGAGGCTCGGACCGGTATTTTGATCGCTAGCGGCGATTCCGATGGCCGTTGCAGTGCCTATGTCGGCACGTTTTTTACATCAATCATCAGATGTACCCGCAGCTAATTTCTAGTACGTTTTTTACATCCGTCATCAAATGTACCCGCAGCTAATTTCCGGTACTGGTTTCCGAATTTTTTATAAACAAACCAAAGCGGCGAGCTACATGTGGCCTATAAAATTTGTTCACGGAGCCGTCCCTGGCAAACGATCGGCGGTGGAACCTTCTGATGAAGCCAAACACATAAAAAGGAAGCAATATGAGTGAGAATTTCAGGATAAAATTGATAGATTTTGTAGAACTGGCAAAGATTTGGTAGGACTGACATATAATCTTGCTTTGTCAGTCCCATGACTGACAGGTCAAAAAAAAGTTTTCGCAAACTCTGAAACAAATGTATATATATATAGAAATGATAATTACTTTAAATAATAGCACAACAATGTTAAATCTGCAAATTTGCAGAAGCAAATTTTTGTTCTTCCCTCGCTGGGATTCGAATTTATGCTATTGGGATATCGAGACAACACCGCCTGCACTGTGTCCAGAGCTCTAGACCACACGGCCACCTAGACTGAACTAATAATTCAGCTTTCGGTGGCCTAGTGTTACCTTTTCTCGTCAGTAGAATCTAGAGTTCTAACACAGTACATGATATATTAGGCATGAAGATGGAATTAATTGCAGATTAGCTAAATATCTATCGTAAAGGATTGTATGATACAGTCACAGAAATAATTATTTTGATAGAAATGATATATCGGATTTATTCATTGCCTATTACTTTTGCTCTACCCTACATGAAGTGATTCTATAAATAATGTCTGAAAAAATAAATGACTAAGAATTAAAATGATTAACAAGACCTTTTTTTTCAAAAGAAAAGACAAAATATGAAATCTAGATACAAAAAGGTATTCAAGTAAGGTCTATATTTTACTTGATAAATTTGTGCAATCTTCATCTGTAATTTATTTATAATTTAGGTTGCATGTGTGCCCTTTTCTGGAAAATATTGAATTATAAATTGAATTAAAATACACTTTATAACTTTTAATTTTAAGTGTCATAAAATCATGATAATTGATTTTCAAAATCAATAAGCAATTCTTAGAGGAGAAAAATTGTATACCTATGTTTCAACTTACAAAATGCCCCCAAAACAACCTTTTTAGATTAATTTTTGGAGGCAATATAGATCCTAGTTTCAAGTCTACCTGTTGGAGGAAAATTGAGAATCTTTTTTAAAAGAATCTTTATTTGGTAATTTCTTCTGTTTCTAAAGATAAAATGTTAGAGGTGAAACATGTAGTAGGGAAGAATATTTGGTTAAGATATGAAATTGCAATTTAACCTAAATTGTTGTGCAAATTAAGGGACCCGCTATCATTGATTCATATTTAGCTCATTTTATCTACTGAAAAAGTGCTTATCCTTCTAAAGACCTGCAGTTAATGCAATTATCAGCAATAGTGCTATATAAATGTTCTTTTTTGTCCACAGGATACCTAATTATAATTTGAAATTATTCAAACTACTCTTCCAATCTTTCCATGAGTGATTTCCATCACTTTGATTATTAATTTTTTTTTAAATACTCCCCTGTAAATGAATTCATTTTCGATACTTTTCTTTCCTGTTGACTGACTGAAGGTGTTATATTGCCTTCAAAAAATTGTACTTGACCATACTTTTTTGTAATGCCTGCAGTAATATTAATGGAGCTCATGTTTGGTCATTAGTGTATAAAGATTACTTTCAGATTGATTTTTTTTTTATCCTTGCCTAACATTTTTTACTAGACAATAGCCCTTAACTTTTAAGGTAATGCCTGCAGATCTGTAGGAGATTTATTGTACCTTAGTGTGTAATGATGACTGATAGATAGAGTTTACATTTCATTCCAGTTGACTGATTTATCACTGCAGGCAGGGGGTTAAGTGTTTCAACATATAGTCATTATACCCCTGCTCCTAGGCCGGGATTATATTTCTTTTACTCTGTCTATCCATTATTCCCAAGAAATTTCTCAAAATACAATAGAACTTCTTTGAATTTTGAATCAAAGTTTGTGTGATATGTTTTAACATCCATGACTTATTAACTTCCTGTTAAACGAATACTTATAGCAAGGTATCATTAATGAGCAAAGTTTTGTGTTATTCTGCGGCTCAGCTGAAGACACATAAAAACGGTAATATTAAAGGCCACTCAAAGAGAATTTTGACAGTAAAAGAGAAATAGCTTTAACAATTAGAAAGAATTGGATTTTGAACAGATATATCATGTTATGGAGGGGTATTTGCGATAAATACCAGTCAAGGGATGGTGAAATTTCCCAAGCCGCTAGGGGAGGGAAATTTGGTCCCAAGACTGGTATTTTTCGCAAATACCCCTCCATAACATGATATATCTGTTTAATTACATAGAATAGATTTTGATTGAAACTGTCTGTACATGTGAAGGGAAATCGTAGAACCGCGGGAATTATACATGTACTTATATGAGTTAATGCTGTCTTTTTGTAACGTCATGGTATCTATATGTGTAAACGTCATTGTTATTCCATTATTAAATCGTTCATTTGTATAGACATGTTTTTCCCCTCTTTATATGTATATTTCTGACAGTTTTTGGTTTAACTCAATCAATAGTGCTTAACCATGTTGTCGAGATAAAGTGAGAAAGGTTCCGAATAATTTTGGCTGGAACAGGCTCGCGAGGGTAAAAAAGGAATATCCAAAATGGCAAATACCATGGCAGAGAGGGGAATTTGAGGCAAATTCACCGGCAGTGGTGAAAAAACAGGCAAATTCGTTTGAAATGAGGAAAAAATGTTAGAATATGCGAAAAATACACTGGCTAACAACCAATCAAATTCCGGCATTCTTATATAAGGTGTAATTACACTTGATATCAACTGGAGTTATTTAATTTCAATAATAACAATAAACTTTCCATAAACTCTATTTTTTGCACTTTAATTTGAAATTGAATAACTCAAGTTGATATCAAGTGATATCAATTCTTTCTAGGTGTTAAACCAATTTTCAATCATTATGAAATCTATAACTGTCATACTATCTTCATTATCATTGCTTGTATCAGATAAATATAAAGCATTTTTGGAGAAAAAAACAATAGCCCTTACATGCAGGTCCACTTTTTTTTTAACTTTGAGTTTATGGTCAATACTAATCTGAATTGACTAGGATTGTCTGTTTTCCTGCTGAAGGTCTGTGGTTCTCTCCTAGCACTCCAGCTTCCTTCACCAATAAAAACTGACCCCTAAGAAATAAACAATAGTGCTGAAAGTGGTGTTAAACACAAATAAATCAATAAATCAATCAATTTTAATTTTTAAGCAGTGTACTCTTGTTATTCAATTGCATACTATATAGAAGTAAAGAGCAATTGTTATGGGTGTTTTTTTCTAACTTTTATTTGATCTTTCTTTTCAGCAACAAAAGCAATGCAGGATGCAGGAGTGAGCTTTGAACAGATAGAACAAGCATGTGTTGGTTACGTTTATGGTATGTCACATTAATTGAACTGTGTGAAATATAAATGTATTACTATTATCCTGCTTTAGGAGTGGGGGCTATATTGCAATCACCTTATCTAAGTTTTTCCAGTAAATATTTTTGTCACACTTTTCTCAGGAACTACCAAACAGTATGACTTCATATATGGTTAGCAGCTTGACAGTGATGAGTTGCAATGTGTTAGAATTTTTTGGATGTGTCGGAGACCAAACTCTCTGTTTTCTAATACTTTCATTGTTCAATATTGAAGGAACTTAACATTTTAACACATATATCCAGTACTACAGAACAGAATGACTTCATATTTGATCTACAACTTGACAAGGATGACTTGTAAAGAGTTGGGGCTTTTTAATTTCAGATCTGTCAGACACCTTTTTTCCGTTTTCTGATACTTTGAATTACAGGTTGGGGTATGGTTAGCATGACATTACATTCAACTTTATGTTTTGATTCATTTAGTAACTAACTTTGGTGCTTTTTGCAGCCAATATGATAATTTGACCCAAATACAACCAACTACATTAACATACTAATATTTTCACACTGTATGTTCTGTTTCCACATTGGTTGGTTGATATAATCATTTCACTCTATAAAGCAAAAACAGTGGTAGAAATAAGTGAGCAGTAGCACAAAGTAAATCTTGTTAAATATGTGTTCTTACAAGTAAAGGATAAATCTAATTTAAGGTGATTCTACTTGTGGACAAAGAGCTGTATATGAACTAGGACTCACAGGAATTCCAGTATTCAATGTAAGTTCTGTCATTGATTTAAACTTACTCCTAAGGGTTATTCCAGGAAAAAAATGTATGGGACAGTTGGACAACACTTTTTATTACACCCCACCACCCATTATTTTTATTTTCATTTGTAACAGAATTGTATTTGCTAGCACCCTTATTACCAATAGAAAAAGAAATATCAAGTGGAGTTTTCTACCCTCCCACACATTTTTTCCTGGAATGACCATAAATGAATTGACCATGTGATCCCAGTTCAAGATTTCAATCACTCAGTACATCCAAATGACTTATTGTTAGTTCATTTTAATGTTTTCTTTTTAGAGATGACCCAAGTTAGACATAATGGCAACCATTTATATTTGCATAACTTGTCTTCAGTCAAAAGTCAAGTAAATGAATTGCTCACTAAAATTAATTTGTTTACATTACTACTATAAATAGAAATGTGATTCTTGAAAAGTTGGGTTTGTAGACACACAAATTTAAACTTACTACTCTCACTTTGAACCAGTTATTATTGATTGAATTTATATTATCATAGATCACATGATGAATAAAAGGACGAGGAAATAAGAACACAATTTGATCAGTGACTTTTGTTATTTTGAGTTTTTTTTATAAATTTCTAATATTTCTTAGTAACATAAATGAATATAAATAAGATGATGTGGTATGAGTGCCAATGAGACAACTATCCATCCAAGTCATAATGTTTAAAAAGTAAACAATTATAGGTCAAAGTAAGGCCTTCAACACGGAGCCTTGGCTCACACCGAACAGCAAGCTGTAAAGGGCCAACCAACACTGGCAACAGTATAATCTATATAAAAAATGAGAAACACTTATCAACCACATCAGCAAACGACAACCACTGAACAACAGGCTCCTGACTTAGGACAGGTGCATAAAAATGCAGTGGGTTTAAACATTTTAATAGGCGCCTACCTTCACCCTAACCTGAAACAGTGGTGTAACATTCAAACATAAAAAGACACACAATAAAATATCAATTGAATGTCTATATATCCATCTGATTTGCAGTTCATGTATTATAATTATGTCCATCTTTTTCATTCTTATCTAATATTGCTACAGTTTTCAGTATGGAAAAGAAACTTTCAAACAGTATAAATGATAGTCTTTTTATACGACCGCAAAAAAATGTTTGTGGTCCTATATTGGTATGATGTTGGCGTCGTCGTCGTCGTCGTCGTCCGAAGACACATTGGTTTTCACACTCTAACTTTAGTTTAAGTGAATGGATCTCTATGAAATTTTACCATAAGGTTCAATACCACAAAAGGAAGGTGGGGATTGATTTTGGGGGTAAAGTACCAACAGTTAAGGAAAAAGGGGCCAAAAATAATCATTTTTGTAACTTCCAGACATAACTTGTGTGTTAGTGTATGGATCTCTCTGACATTGTACCACAAGGTTCCATATCACAAAGGGAATGCTGGGATTGATTTTGGGGGTAATTGCCTCCACATTTTAAGAATTAGGGGCCAAAAAGGGGCAAAAAACAAGCATTTTTCTAGTTTCATGACAAAAACTTGTGTGTAAGTGTATGGATCTCTCTGACATTGTACCATAAGATTCCATATCACAAAGGGAAGGCTGGGATTGATTTTGGGGGTAATTGCCTCCAAATTTTAGGAATGAGGGGCCAAAAAGGGGCAAAAAACAAGTATTTTTCTAGTTTCATGACAATAACTTGTGTGGAAGTGTATGGATCTTTATGAAATTGTACTACAAGGTTCCATATCACAAAGGGAAAGCTGGAATTGAGTTTGGGGGTAATTGCCCAAAACGTTTAGGAATAAGGGGCCAAAAATAAGCATTTTTCTAGTTTCCAGACAATAACTTGTTTTCAAGTGTATGGATCTCTCTGAAATTATACTGCAAGGTACCATACCACTAAGGGAAGGCTGGGATTGATTTTGGGGGTAATTCCCTCAAAATTTTAGGAATTAGGGGCCATAAAGGGGCAAAAAACAAGCATTTTTCTAGTTTCAGGACAATAATTTGTGTGTAAGTTTATGGATCTTTATGAAATTGTACTGCAAGGTTCCATATCACAAAGGGAAAGCTGGGTTTGAGTTTGGGGGTAATTGCCCTAAATGTTTAGGAATTTGGGGCCAAAAAGGGGCAAAAAAACAAGCATTTTTCTAGTTTCCAGACAATAACTTGTGCTCAAGTGTATGGATCTCTCTAAAATTGTACTGCAAGGTACCATACCACAAAGGGAAGGCTGGGATTGAGTTTGGGGGTGATGAATCATAAGCGGGTTCAAAAAATTTGGGGGGGGGGGGTATTTTTTCCTTTTTTTTCTTTAAAATTTTCGATTTTAAATTGGTTATATCTGATTTATATATAAAAGCAAATGATAATGATATGGTTTGAATAGGTAAATTAAAAAGTCCTTAGACCACATTCATTCTGTGTCAGAAACCTATGCTGTGTCAAATATTTAATTACAATCCAAATTCAGTGCTGTATCAAGCTTGAATGTTGTGTCCATACTTGCCCCAACTGTTCAGGGTTCGACCTCTGCGGTCGTATCAAGCTGCGCCCCAGCGGAGCATTTTATTTAATCAGTAAAGCCATAGACGCATTTTTCTGAAGAGTGAAATCTGAAAGAAGTGGTTTTAAATGTGTCCCTTTTCAAATTTAAACTTAAAGGACCCTGCCTTTTATCAAAGGCATAGTTTTAGTGATAATTTAAAGTTTAATAGAAAAAATATAAACTTCTTTCATCAGATTTGAAGAAATAAAAATATTTAGGAACCATTCATAGTGTTTCTATAATGATAGCTTTCTCTGTAGGTGAACAACAACTGTGCTACAGGATCCACTGCTCTCATTATGGCAAAACAGTTTATTGAAGGAGGTAAGATGGGGTTTTTGTTATAAGATTATTTTCCAAACTATTGGTGAACAACGCCTACGCCTCTGTATCAACTGCTCTTCTGACAGCAAAACAGTTCATACAAGGAGATAAACACATTTTGTTGATACTATATGGTCTGTAAATATATAAAAAAAGACGAAGATTACTAATTATGGAAGGAATACAGAGGACAGATTAGGAAATGGATAAAACAAAAGATTACACAAAAAAAGATGCCACAACAACAAATACTGTGGATTGGTTTAATTTTGCGTGGGTACCAATTTTCGTGGATTGAGGGAAATTTGTATTTTTATGGATATTAGATTTCGTGGTTTTGGCGAACTCCGCATGCAAGCCTATACAAAAGTTATTCTTTGTTGAAAATTTAATTTCATGGTTCATGTTTACCCACTAACTCCACGAAAAATTGATATTCCACGAATAATAATGAATCCACAGTAGGTTACTTCATTTGATTAAAAAGTCTCACCTTATATTCATATACCCATACCTGTCTTGTTTGTAGCAGCTGTTTTAAAAGTATTAAATTTAAGCAATCAATTTCTCAACCAAAGTCAAGATGAGAACATGGTTATTTAATATGAATATAAACTTTTTCATTAGATGGACAAGCTTTTGCAATGCTAAGCTATCTCCCATTAGTCAATGTCATCACTCCTAGATGCATTATTCTAACTCTGAGACAACCATTTTTTTACTTACTCCAAACAAACATCTGTTGTCCTTTGACTGTATTCCAGGAATTGTTTGTTTTATAACTTTTTTTCTTTTTTTTAGGTTTGGCAAATTGTGTTTTGGCATTGGGGTTTGAAAAGATGAGCAGAGGTTCTTTGAAATCTATTGTAAGTATGTTGAATTTATCCAGTCTGTAGTATTAGGTAACATTGATATGAGGGTTCTGTCTAGCTGTAGAACCGTAGCTTTTGTCGTCCTTGGGATTTTTTTATATACAAAAAAATATCCCAAGGACAGTAAGAGCTTTGGTTTCACAGCTAGGTTCTGTCCTTTCAAAAAAAAAAACTTTGTGCTCAAATTATTCTTAAAAAAGATTATTTATTAGATAATTTTGAAAATGAAAACTATGAGTAGTTTTGCTGATACAATGCATAGACTTGAGTGTGTTATGAATTCAGGATCTTTGGTTACCTGTCTTGCTATCTGAACTATGAAATCATACGTATCTCTGTATCTCTATTTACAACATACAACAAACACAGACACATATTATTTTATACAGATGCTTTAGATATGTACCTATTTATTTAATGCTCACTATATATATGTTGGTTTTCCATTTCCAAAATTGTTTATAGCTTTTTAATCTGATTGAAATAAACAAATGAATGAGTAACTGTGGCAGGGGGCACACATCTTTCATGTAAGACATATATCTAAACTAGTTCTAACTTGACTAATCCTGCTATTTGAGTGCTAGACTAAAGACCCATGAGTACAAAACCATTTGACTCAACTCTAATCATATTTCTAATTCAAATGAATTATATAGATGGAATTAAGATCAATTAAGGAAACAAGATTTTTTTAACAGTACCAAGATCGTACAAATCCAATGGAGAAGCATGCAATGGTTGTTGCAAACACATTTGGTATAGAAAAGGCTCCATTGGCTGCTCAAATGTTTGGAAATGCTGGCAGGGAACATATGGAAAAATATGGTATGCACCTTATTCTACAGTAATAAACAAATATTTCTTATGACCATTATTATTGTGCATGTCATACAGTAAAATTAAATGAAACATATTTTGGTTGTTGGCATTATTTGGCAGCACATTTGATGTAAAAAATAGGGAGTTTGGGTAATATAAAATACAATAGATTAAGGGCACTTTGAAATTAGAACTAGTCTTTTAATCTCTGTCATGCTTGACTTTGTAGATTTCAATGTAAAACATTTATAATACCAATATCATAATTGAGTTCAAAAAAGAATGCAGCTCAAAAATTGTACTTTCAGTTTGGCTTCTGCATTTGATTTACATAGATGACTGGTAAGATCAACAAATCACAGAATTACAGTCTAATTTGTAAACTACAGAATACTATATATGTACACTTTTTTTCGATTTTGGTATTGTCAATGAATTCGCGTGTATATAATTTCGCGGTATTTTCAAAAATATCAGAACATAAATAACAGACTGATAATTCTTAAAATTTTCATTAATTAGGTCTTCATTTGTTTAACAATATAAAACAAAATAAACAAAGATTATTCAATCGTAAAATCAGTCGTCTGTTTTGATAGATGTTTAATAACCCGATTAAGTCGTTAATTACTTAATATAACTGTCATATTTAGCTTGGGCTATTATTTTTCACCTTTTGTCCTTTTATTGTCCCCCGCGCAACGTGTTGCGGGGACATAGAAATACAGGGCGTCAGTCCGTCCGGCCTTTGTTAGCGCTCTGATGTGTACAATTCTTGCCAGATTTTTATGAAAACTTTATCATAGGTTAATATTAGCAATGTCTTGGAAGAGTTCGAAAATCAATGCCGATCAATTATTTTTAAAAGAGCCCCTTGGAAACATTAATTATAAGGAAAATTGCAACGTTAGCACTCTCATGTTTACAATTCTTGCCAGATTTTTATGAAACATATATCATGGGTTTATATCAGCAATGTCTTGGACGAGTTCGAAAATCAGTGTCAATCAATTATTTTTAAAAGAGTTATGCCCCTTGGAAACATTGATTATATGGAAAATTGCATTGTTAGCGCTCTCAATTATTGCCAGAATTTTATGAAACTTATATCATAGGTTCATATCAGCAATGATTTTCACAAATTTGAAAATCAGTGCCGATCAAATATTTTTAAAAAAAGAGTTATACCCCTTAGAAATATTGATTATATTGCATTGTTAGCACTCTCATGTGAACAAATCTTGCCAGAATTTTATGAAACTTATATATCATAGGTTAATATCAGCAATGTCTTTGACACTTTCGAAAAAAAGTGCTGATCAAATATTTTTAACGAGTTATGCCCCTTGGAAATTTTAATTATAATGTAAATTGCATTGCATTTGCTCTGATGTCTTCATTTCTCTAAGATATTTATAAAAAGTTTTAAAGAACCAAAAAAAAGTGTTTTTTTAGTTCATAATTGCCCTTGTACCTTGGATAGAAAAAATATGTGCAACGTGGGGGACATTGGAACTCTGTTCTTTTATTCCTATTAATTAAATTTCTGTGAAGATAACTGGTGTTGTTTTAACAGTTTCACGGTTCAATTGAGATTATCTAAGGCCAACAAGGGGAACATGCATGTACAGTTGTAATTTCCAGTGATATTTATTCAATGGTTTTTATATGCGTGAAATCTGCATTTAAATTCGCATGTATTTATTTTCGTGAAAATATACTTACCGCGAAATTTGTGAAAATAAATACAACGTGAAAATAAGTACATGTGCAGTAAATACAAACATTTAGAAACCATTGGCCTATGTATTCAAGATATTTACCAGATAACTTGACAGTATATTATGTAGGGGTAGAGCAAATGATTTAGATTTTAGATTGACTGCAAAACAATTTAGATAACATACAGAGAAAAAGAGAAAAAGTGAAGAAGTACACAAAAGAAGTTAAATCAAGAAGGAATACAACATTATTGTAAAATTATAAGAGAATACACTTCAGACACAGGGAACAAAGAAAAAGAGGGAAAAGATACCAATGGGACAGTCAAATACCATAAGCTTATATTTCTTTATTGGTTAAATGAAATGCAATAAAACTTATTTCCAATATAAATGTACTATATTTCTAAGTTTAACAATTAAAGTCAAATCATTTGAGTTGCTGCATTGAAATGATCACTTTAAAAACAATATATACATGCATGAATAAAAAATATATATCAAACTGAAATGCACAAAAATCTAATAGTTTTAAGAAGATGATTTCTTAAAGTGTAACTAAGTATGGCTTTAATTTATGATAGCTATACTAATACATTAAACAGTACACGAAGATAATACATATATTTATTTGTAAAATGCAGGTGCAGGTTTCAAGAAACCTTTGTTTTTTAATATTTTTAGGTACTCAGCCAATTCATTTTGCCAAAATTGCTCATAAAAACCACAAGCATTCAACAAATAACCCGTAAGTTTAGTTATTATGAATTTAAAATGATGATATAACAATAGGTATATCTAATTGCTCAAGTTTTAACAAATAGTGAATGCATCAACTCTATAATCAAAACCAAGTACTGTTAATACACAGAAAACAGAAAATCACAGTATTAACCAATGATAAAAATTTCTGTCATTAGACCAAAAATGCCCAAAAATACTGCATTTTTAGCAAGATCAAAATATTTTTTAGGTTGATGATTGAATCATGCCATCTTATATTGTAATATTGTCTGATTTATCCCCTAAATGATATTATACAGTGAAGTTAAATATGATTTATACAATGGCATAACTGTTTTGTGTACAAATTGAAATATTGAGGAAAAAGAAAAAAAATGTCATACCTTTCACTTTTATTACTTGATAAATTGATATTTTCTAAAAAGAATGTCATGTAAGTTTTAAATAATAGGATTATAATGTATAAATGCTTTGATGATAACTTTATTTATTCAAGTGAAAATCTTGCTAAATCTTAGAATTGTTTGAAAAATTTAATGATACTACTGTATACAACTTTTGGTGTGTATGTGAATTGTCTTGTTTTGTAAAATACCTACTGTTGGATATTAGTATTAATTAAGTTATTTTACCTCTTTTTGATATCAAAGTCCTTGATGTTATATAATCTTAAGAAGCTACCATTTTTACTGATAATGAAACTGTTAAAGTATTAAAACCCTGTAAGAAGGAGTCAGTATAATATCACTATTCATAAGTAAATATTCATGCTTTCAAATAAGTATGACCTGTATCAATATGAATAAAAGGAGATAGGTATGATTGTGTGAACTATACACCAGAGAACAAAGGACGAGGATGTAAGCAACTATACGTCAACGTACCTTTAGTAATAAGCAAATCCCATACAGTACTTTCATTACATTCTTCTTTTGGAAGATATAAATATCTTATCATTGATCCTTTTTTATTTCAGTTATTCACAGTTTCAAGATGAATACACCCTAGAACAAATTATGAATTCTCCAAAGATTCACGATCCACTTACAAAGCTCCAGTGTTGGTAGGTATTGAAATAAATACATGATGTCACAGTTACCTGTAAATAGTTTTATTTGCAAATTTGAACCAATACTTCATGATAGTATGATGCGAAGATCATCAATAATGTTTAGTTTATGTGACCTTGATCTTAAAGACATTAAACAGAAAATTCTATCATGATCAGTATTGCAGGAGAGATGATTAAACGTAATCATTCTTGTTCAGTTCTAACAATTAGAAACAAGCCGGTTTTCAGGACATTTTGAATTGAAATATATGCGTATTTCAGCAAAACATAAAAATATGTATGAATAAAAGATAATGTGTGGTGTTTATATAAAAATAATCAACAACACCCATCCCTGAAAGCAAAAAATGCTATTAAAGTCGAGATCATCACCCTGAATAACCCCTTTCAGAGACATCCTTGATATGTGCCTGTATACGCTTCTCATATGAATAAAAAGGGATTAGGATATTTGTCCATTAAATAGCAACTCAATAACACAAATTACTATAAGACATCTAAAAAACGAAATAATCTTCTATATATTACAGTGCTCATTAATCTTCATATTTTATGAATTAGTAGTTCATATGTAACACCATACTGTTATAAGATTAAATGTTAGAACTAATGGTTTTTAGTCCAACAAGTGATGGTTCTGGTGCTGCTATTCTTGCAAGTGAAGAATTTGTCAGAAGTCATGGACTAGAAAACCAAGCTGTAGAAATAGTAGCAATGGAAATGGCTACTGATTTACCAAGTGCTTTCAATGATAATAGTTGTATGAAGGCTGTAAGTATTTAAACATAAGATCCAACTTAACCCTTTCACCGATAGCTGCCCAGACAGAAGCTACTCTGAGACGATGGCTTCCCTGGCTACTATAACTCAAGTGGGAGATCTTCATAATAAATGTTAATAAAAACTTGTCTGTAGTATTTTGTGTCTTTATTTCATTCACTAACACCATGTTCACAGTTTTGTTCATGTTTTGATAATTTTTTCTTCATAAAATATTCAAATTTTCAAATTTTCGGCATCATCTAGGTGAAATTCTCAAAATTCTACTTTTTGACCCCCAATCGTAATTTTTTAACCCAAAACAGCAAAATTTTGAAAAATTTAATGAGGCTGTACAAATTCCTTACACTGAACGATGTCCATTCCAAGTGTTTTGTACATAAAACGACATTTTATGTCAAAAAAGTATACTAGTTTGGCTTCAATTTTTCCATATTCTTTCAAAAAAAATTTTCCCTCATTTTAAATTCTCGTAAATTCCTTAAATTTCCTCTGATTTTGACACGGTTTTCAACATACGGAAGCGCCATGTTTACACTTTCATCCGGGTATTCAACAAAGAAAGATAACTCTTATTTGCACTGTTTTGAGCGGGAAATATAAAAGAGGTATTCCGATCCTGGTAAAACGGGACTCATCGTCAGCTGTCTGAAGCGTGAATCCCAGTAAACCGGGACTCATCGGGGAAAGGGTTAATATGGTAACTGTCTCAGATTTAATATAAAAAATGTATAAATCATATATTTAGAATATCAAATGTCCGTCGTCTCATCTGCTCTTGACATATCAAAATGTCTTTAGCTTTACTATCAAGCTGATACTTTGCCTTGTGTGGTAAAATTTTTGCAATATGAATTTTTTCCTGTAATATTGAATGTGTTAAAAAAAAAACCAAAATGATTATCATTGCAAAACAACTTTTATTGAAAGTATAGCATATAGTAATGTATACACAAACAAATTGAGTGTCTGTCTGTACATAATTCTTTGTCAAATAGTGTTCAGAATTGTTGGATCAATGAATCATATGCAGGATTTTGTTTTGTTTTATTCCTATTATTAAGAATTTGCTCTTTGAACTCTGCAACTTGGTTTTTCTGTACAGACCCATTCATTTGTTTTGTAATAGTTTTAGCCTTTAACCGTATGGTATTTAAAATGTTTAAGGTTGGATATGATATGACAGCAAAAGCTGCAGACAGAGCATTCAAAAATGCAGGTAAGATGGTTTTGTTGATCTTGTTTATATGTAATTAAATTGTTTTATTGTGTGAAAAAAATGTTTAAAGCTCCAAAATTATTGAAGAAACCTGCATGAAATAAAACAGAAAAGTGTTGCTTATTCATTGACATATACCCCTACTTTTATTCATTTACAAAAAAGAAATATGGAAAATGGAAATTAAAAAACATCACTTTTGTTTATTTCAATCCTGACAATAGATTTAGTGTCTTCCTTTTTCTATTTTTGTTCTGCTATCTCCCAACATTTCTATTTAACTGAAGTAATTAACTATGCAAATGTCTGGCTTGAAATAAAATGTATTAGACAAGATGTAACAGTGAGTATCAACCCTTACAATTAGAAGTCAAAGGTACTTCACTATCATCAGATTATCAACCCTTAAAAGTAGAAGTCAAAGGTACTTCACTATAATCAGATTGATTTTTGCACAAATCCCAAAAGGACATGAATAAAAGCCATTTTTGGTCTCATTTTATCGAAATTTTCTTTGTCGTGTTACTTTTGATAAGCAAGCAACGTTTAAAAAAAGTCATTGTTGTTTCTTTTTTTGTGCTATTCTGATGTACAGTAAAATTATAATGTAACAATGATTGGGGGGAAATATCAGAAATCCTCCATAAAGATCAAATTTGTCTGATTAAAATTAAATTTCATCCCAAGCTTTCATCACAAATATATTTTTTGCAATTTTTTTATTAGGTTGATATAAAAATGTAGCATATGAATGTAGAGCAAGAACAAAGAAGAGCTATGGACAATATCAATCATTTAACCAAATTTTAATTTTTTTGCAATTTATTTACACTGTAATATCTTTAAACTTTATAACCATTCAACCAATCTGTATTGATAAATATATGTACCTTATATATTTTTTGAAATTTGAAAATGTCTAAAAGGTAAGGTTAAAAACAGGTCATGCTGAGTCTTTTGTAAACATCTAACTGTTTATTCAGGTTTGAGTAGAGATGATGTGAATGTGGTGGAACTGCATGATTGTTTCTCCTGTAATGAACTCATCACTTATGAAGCTCTCGGGTTGTGTCCTCCAGGTAAGAATTATAAATTTTGCTGTATTCCTTTTTTATGCCCCACCTACGATAGTAGAGGGGCATTATGTTTTTCAGTCTGTGCGTCTGTTCGTTCGTCCATCTGTCCAGCTTCAGGTTAAAGGTTTTGGTCAAGGTAGTTTTTGATGAAGTTGAAGTCCAATCAACTTGAAACTTAGTACACATGTTCCCTATGATATGATCTTTCTAATTTTAATGCCAAATTAGAGTTTTGACCCCAATTTCACGGTCCACTTAACATAGAAAATGATAGTGCGAGTGGGGTATCTGTGTACTATGGACACATTCTTGTTTATAATTATTATTTGTAAGGGTTTTGTGCTGCTTTGCTTTTGTGCCAATAATACAGGTAAATATTATAAATAATAGGTTTATATTAAAAAGATACTTTTGTTTTTAATGCTGAGATTGTACTTTTTGCTGGTCTAAACCATTGTTGACTGCATTGTTTAATGATTTTATAATGGTCTTAAAGTCCACATCTGTTGTGATTCTGGCTTTGCAACTTTTTGGGGTACATCTTTACTATTTGTCTCTGTTTTTTTAATACATTAGATATTTTAAATGTGAGGTCTTACAAAATACAGATGTATTTCCTCCTCTTTTAATCTCCGAATTAATTATGTCCATCTTGTCAACTCAAACATGTGAACACTAAATAATGTTATACCTTTTAAGTGACTCAGTTTTGTATGAGGAATGAACTCATTTACTTACCCAATGGGGGTGGAAACTCTACAACATTTCTCATACAGGCCTCGTATTCATGATACAACTTATATTAAAACGTTTCTGTTATATTTTACCTGTAAAATGGCGCAAAAGCAGTATTTATTTTTGGAGCAAATGAAATACCACCTTCTTCAAAAATTGCTGTAAATGCAATGCCCAATGATCTTAAATCAGGATAAATGTTTGGATAGGGTTAATGAACAAATGAGGTAAGAGTAAGGATTGGGATATTTATATATATCAATTATGAAAGGAACAAATATAGAGATGGCCTACTTTTAGTATTACATAATATTTAATTATATAAAAGATGGTTGAGATCTCAAAAAACATGTTTAACCCCGCCACATTTTTGCGCCTGTCCCAAGTCAGGAGCCTCTGGCCTTTGTTAGTCTTGTTTCATTTTTAATTTTAGTTTCTTGTGTATAATTTGGAGTTTAGTATGACGTCCATTATCACTGAACTAGTATACATATTTGTTTAGGGGCCAGCTGAAGGACGCCTCCGGGTGCGGGAGTTTCTCGCTGCATTGAAGACCCATTGGTGGCCTTCGGCTGTTGTCTGCTCTATGGTCGGGTTGTTGTCTCTTTGACACATTCCCCATTTCCATTCTCAATTTTATTGATATGTTTTGTTGAACATCATAGTTTAGCAGTTGCAAAACATAAATACATCTCAGGACAATATCAAGATATTTGTAAGAAAAATGCAAGATTCCATGAACTAGATTGATTGGAAATTCTGTAATAAACAACATTCTTATACAATAACATAAAACAATTGAATGACAATGAATAGTTTATTGAATGCAGTTCTTAATAACTAGAGCAGAATTTACTACTAAATTTGTGGTCATGGCCACTGCTTAATTTCATAAACTTTATGATTTGAATTGTTTAACTTTAATGTTTTTTAAATTACAGGTAAAGGTCCAGAATTGGTAGACTCGGGTAACAATACATATGGTGGGAAATATGTAATCAATCCAAGTGGTGGACTCATTTCTAAAGGTCATCCTCTTGGTGCTACAGGTTGGTTAAAAATAATCTAAAACCATTATTGGGACTTTTCAGGTGACAACTGTTAACAGCAACATTTACCTGGGATTTGCCTATTACTAAGATGAGATTGACTTATTTGGAATTATGTATTGTTAGTCTTTACAATAAATAATTAATGTTCAGTATTGAACAATTTTATAAGTCATGTTACTTTTACACTTGTTAACACTAGAAACAAATAAAGCTGATTCTTTCTTTCCTGTCAGTTCTACAAATAGAAAGATACTTTGAAAAATATGTATTGAATAATAATAAAACAGCAGGCTAGTTAAGTACTAAGTAATGCACTTTTTTAGGTCTTGCTCAGTGTGCTGAACTGTGTTGGCAGCTTAGAGGCATGGCTGACAAAAGACAAGTATCAAATGCAAAGGTTGCTCTCCAACACAATATAGGATTGGGAGGTGCAGCAGTTGTAGCATTATATAAAAAAGGATTCCCTAAGCAGAGGTTAGTTGTCTTATGCGTAAATATAAATGAATTTGGTATAAATTTAGAATTTTTGAAGTGTAAAAAGGAACCATTTCCAGAAGCCTTTAAATCTAAATTGACCATTTAATTTCTTACAAATATCTCTTTAGTGGTAAAACTGTAATACTGTAATACTGTTTATTTGTGTTCCTACTGTCTGAATCACTCTGCTCAGCTCTTCATAAAGTTGCATGTCACGGCTTTGTGACGTCAAATACGTTAACCCATGATATAGCTTTGACCCAGACATATCATTGACTTCATAATGAAAAAACAGATATTGATAAGTTTGACTCTAACATATCAAGTCATCTTCCGGTTTGCTGGTGAAACAAAGAAAAACACTTGTCTGTTTTATGCAAAATACAATAGTACAATCAGAAAAATCTATTATCAGATTTTCATCATATTTATATTGTAATATGCTAGCTGCTTTAAACAATGTGAAGCCTTTTTGAATTCGTTCGAACCGCTCACTCGACAAAAAGCTTCAAATTGCGACTCACAGCTGATATTTTACAATATCAATATTAAGTCACCCTGATAATCGGTACAAATTCAGAACTTTTTTGCTATGTTTTTATTATTAATGTTTTTCAAAGGAGAAGTATTAAGTATTTAAGTGTGTTTGTTTCAGTCAAATCCAAGCATTTGCCACCAGTGCTTCTACAGAAGACAAATTCCAGTCAGCAGCAATTTTCAAAGAAATCAAAAGCAACCTTGACAAGGTATTACATTTTATTTTTATGCTGTCATATAGTTTTTATCTGCACCCAAAAATATGTTATTATAATTTTTGTTTTTGCTTTCCCATTTAACTGCTTTTTATCAGTTTCCAAATTTTAAGTTTTTCTGAATTAAAACACAACCTTATTTTTGGATGGTAATGTATATGACAAGATGCATTAAATGATATATGGTAGGAACCAGAAATGTCTGAAATTGAGTGAAGATTGGACCAAATATTAAATTGAAAAAATGATGATGAGACTGAGGTATATTTTCATGTAGTGGTAAAATAGAAATAAGAAAAGTTAGTCATTATAAAAATATTCCTTAACTGTCAATACTGTTTGCTTTTCATTTACCACCTTGCACAAGTTTGTTTATTTTTTTCATGCTTTTGCAGTCAATCTTAATTTTTGTAAAGTAAAATACAGAACATTCAAAATAAACAAGAAAAGTAAATCAGTAAAAAAAAAATTCCTGAAAATAATTTTAGCTCACCTTTCCCACGGGGCCAAGTGAGCTTTTCTCATCACTTGGTGTCCGTCGTCTGTCGTCCATTGTTGTTCTTAACTCTTAAAAAAATCTTCTCCTGAAAGTAGTGGGCCAAATTTAACCAAACTTGGGCACAATCATCATTGTCCGATGACCTGCCTAAAACCCAACATGGCCAAAATGGCCAAAAATAAAACATAGTGGTATTATGCAAGTTTTGTCTATTAACTTGAAAACTGCTTTGAAAAGAGAACATTTGAATCCTTATTGGAATCATTGCTCTTTCATGACGGTTTTTAGTGTTTTTGTCTATTATCTTGAAAATTAGAGTGAATAGATAAATACTTTATACAACAAAAATTATCAGCAAGGGATGTTTTCTGCTTTTTTGGTAGGGTTGTTGTTGTCTCTTTGACACATTCCCTGTTTCCATTCTCAATTTTATGATATACAAATAAGTCAAAATAGTCAAAATCATCTGACAAATCCTTATTGGAGTTATTGCCCTCCAATGCTGATTTTTACCAATTTTGTGTGTATTTGCCTAATATCTTAAAAACTATAACAGATAGATAGAAACAATACTAAGCAAAAATAATCAATAAGACAAGATCTACAAATAAGTCAAACATGACCAAAACCGTTACTCGGCTCCTTATTGAAGTTATTGCCCTTTAATGACAACTTTTCCCATTATTGTCTATAATCTTGAAAACTGTAATAGATAGATAGAAACTAAATAGCATAAATGATCAGCAAGACAAGAACAAATAGTTTTGTAGTTATTACCCTTTACTGATAATTTTTACATTTTTTTGCATTTTTTGCCTATTATCTTTTTTGCCCCAGCTTTGGAAAGCTGCATCGGCCTATGAAATTTTCTTACCGAGGTAGAAGGCTGACAAAAATTTTGCCCCTGCTTCAGAGAGCCGCAAAAAACTATAATAGATAAATAAAAACATTAGAAAGGAAAAAAATATCAACAGGATAAGATCTAAAAATATGTAAACATTAGTAAAATTGTCATTTAACTCTTAATAGAGTTGTTCCCCTTTAATGCTAATTTTTACTAAAAAGTGGCTATTGTTGAAGATGCAGGTGATCTTCTAGTTTTTTTAATTTAATGATTTAGTTCATGTTTTTTACTTCAGTTTACTTGTTATTCCTAAAAGAAATTATTATCTATTCACAATATTTTATTTACTTTGTCTAGGATGGAGCTGCATGGGTGAAAAAGATGAAAGGAATTTTCTGTTTTAAAGTGAAGTCAAATGATGGAACAGAAGGTGTCTGGGTTGTTGATGCAAAGAATGGCAGTGGATCAGTTAAATTTGGTGTTGAACGTAAGTTAATACTCATCCAGATGTATCCTGAATTGACCCAAAAAAGATATCCAGTAATTACTATTAAGGTCTATATAGTAGTTATGACATAAATTGATTGTTATTAAAGCATTTGACAGCATGCTGGGGCCATGTCTTAGTGGATACCAAAATTATGATTACTGTGAATGAAATTGTATATAACATGCATATTATATGAAGATAGAGAGATGTTGTAAGATTGTTAATGAAACAATGAAGATGGAAACAACTACAGGTCACCATACAATCTATGAAAATCAGTAAAACCTGAACTGTATATTATAGTGAGCTATAAAAGGCCCCAGCATGACAAAATGTGAAACAATTCAAAATAGAAAAACCTATGACCTGATTTATGCTGAAAAACATTTATGGTAGACACCAACCAACGACAATCACTGGATAACAGGTTCCTGATTTGTGACAGGCTTTATATGAAAAAAAAAATTTGGCAGGGTCAAACCTTTTTGTGGGAACTTAACCCTCACATTTCCTCACAAAATGGATAGTTTCTTTGTATTTTATAATTAAAACAAATATTTATTTCAGCCAAAGGTGACGTGACAATTATAATGAAAGATGATGATATGCTAAACTTAATGTTGGGAAAACTTAATCCTCAGCAGGTATGTAGTAAACCTTGTGGAAAAGTAAGATATTTATTGTAAACATTCTCCAAAAAGAAGTTTTAGTTTATTTAAAGTTGTTATCAAGTAGTTTATGTCAGCAAATTTCTAGATAGAAGCTGTAGTCTGTCCATATGGACTTACTGTTTTGATGATGGTGAATTTTTCCAAACCATTGATTATATATCAATGACGTTACACTTTCAATCTTGTTTATAGTGTCTGTAAAAGTACAATGCTGTTCACACAATATCAGTCACTTTTTCCAACATTTTGTGCCTCTATCAAAATGATGTATTTATTTTTTACCGTGGAGAATTTCTCTTTAACAGGGTAACAAATCACTGATTTAATCTCTTTTATAGTACAATTGTGTTTACCATGGTATGGGTCACTATACTTGAATGACTTTAGTTCAGTTTTTCATTAAGGCCAAATCCTCAGTTACCTTCTTATATTTAGCAGTATTTCATCACAGCTGTCAGCTTGTTTTGTTCATTTCTATAACTAAAAGTATGGATTATATACATGTAACATTTACTTATAAATAATCTTTAAAAAGTTCAAATATGCTGAAAAACTGCATATAAACCATAAAGAAAAACAATATATGTCCTTTAGTAGTATAGGCTATTTCTTTTATTTTAGTTTTGTGATGCATATTTGGCACATCTATTATTTTAAAATGAACCAGCAAAGCAGTTGGCTATATATATTATTGATGAGAGAAAGAATATGTATGAATGATGGATAACAATTTTATATTCCAGGCTTTTTTCCAAGGCAAACTAAAGATTCAAGGGAACATGGGACTTGCAATGAAGCTGAGAGAATTCCAGTCAGCAGCTGGAAAATCTAAACTTTAATGAGACTTACATAGTAAACTTGAAAAATGTATCAATAGACTTAAGCATTCTAAATGTAAACTTTAAATGAAAAATTGATTTTGAAGGTTTAAAAAAAAATTACTAATGATAGTATCATTAAATGTATGTGATCTGTCACACATTTAATAGATGAAAATACAAAGAAAGAAATAACAGTCTGTACTATTTATCTGAAATGACTAAAGAAAAAATATATGATTATTAGAGTAATGGCAAAATAGCAACACTATTTAATATTCCTTGATATGACACTACCATAATCATTTTTATACACCAACAGATTTATAATCTCTAAAGAGAGAACAAATAGATTTATCTTTTGCCTACACTTATAATTAAAGTTAATGTTGTACTCTATATATGTTTAATAGTATGTAATTATCATCATGAGCAAAGTAGCTAATGAGGAACATTATGTGAAAACAAAATTAATAATGTATGTACGATGTGAAGTGATACTGACATTTTTATATGATTATTTATTTATACAGATAATTGATTTTTACAAAAGTTATTTAGCATCATTTTTGTGATTTTGAAATGTTTTTAATTTGTGTTTTGTAATATTGCTAGAATGACATGATTGTTTTGAATGAAGATTGATATAAGTATTTATATAAAAATGAGATAAAATTATAAATAACAAGTTGCTTTTATTTCTTTATGTCAAAATACTTCGCTATTTGTTGTTGAAAAATTTGAGCCCCTTCAGTTTTATTGATGTAATTGTGTATAACTGTTCACCACCTTAAAATGTATGAAGTATTTTAGAGCTCAAAAGTTTGCTCTTAGTAATCAGATCAGTTAAAAAAATAGTTCATATCATTATACACAAGGTTCCACATGACTTGTAATTCTTTAAAGGATATTCCATTTTAACATCAACTAACATTCTAACATGATTTACCCCCACCACATTATGTATGTACCTGTCCCAAGTCAGGAGCCTGTAATTTAGTGGTTGTTGTTGTTGGTCGCTGTCTTTTTTTTTGTTTGTTGTTTTGTACATTCCTCATGTCTATACTTCAGTCTCAATTTTGGATTTCATGTGATAAAGAGAGAACCACATTTTTAAATTAATTGAAATTTTAATGGAATGTTTGAACCATGAAAGACAGGTTAAATTCGATTTTATCGTTCCAGAGTTATAGTACTATATTGTTGGAAAAATGTTATGGTTTCTGGATATAAAATGAAAAACTGCTCTTTCAAATTGACTGAAATTATAATACCATTTTGGACCACTAAAGACAGCTGGTTAAGTTTGATTTATGTTGGCTTCTTTTACCATTCCAAGAGTTATGGTTTTTGATTGTTGGAAAAATTCAAAATTTTGCGGTTTCTGGATGATAAATTGGAAGACTTTTTTTAAATTTTATTGGAATGTTTAATGACCACTAAACAGAAGTTTTTCCCAAAACTTTTAAAACTATCTCCCGAGTTATTATACAACCGCAAAATTTTTGTGGTCGTATATTGGTATCACGTCCTCAGCGTTGTCAGAAGACATTTGGTTTTCAGTCAATAACTTTAGTATACGTAAATATAAATCTATGAAATTTAAACACAAGGTTTATGACCACAAAAGGAAGGTTGGGATTGATTTTGGGGGTTATGGTCCCAACAGTTTAGGAATTAGGGGCCCAAATAAGCATTTTTCTAGTTTCCAGACAATAACTTGTGGAACAGTGTATGGAATTGTCTGAAATTATACCACAAGTTTCCATACCACAAAGGGATGGTAAGAATTGGCTTTGGGGGGTTATGGCTCAAACCGTGTAGGAATTAGGGGGATAAGCAATGACTTCCAGGTTAATGGACAGTTATTTAAGAATAAAACATAATTAATAAGCAATGTTAGGGAGGTAATTCAAACACAACATTGACAATGTGTTTGAATTACCTCCCTTACACTGCTTTTAAATTATGTATAAAGAAATGTTGTATTGTCTTGAGGTGATTAGCTATCAATTTATTTTTAGAAGTTACTATTTTAAAAATGCAAGGTAATTTAATTTTAACCATGATTATGTATGTCATTTTCTATTTTAAGACTTTTATGATGTATTTAAATGGGTTATTATGGTTGCAAACTCCATTGGAAATTTGACAATAACTTTAGTATAAGTAAATATAAATCTATGAAATTTAAACACAAGGTTTGAAACCACAAAAGGAAGGTTGGGATTGATTTTGGGGGTTATGGTCCCTACGGTTTAGGAATTAGGTGTCAGAAAGGGGCCCAAATAAGCATTTTTCTAGTTTCCAGACAATTACTTGTGAAACAGTGTATGGAATTGTCTGAAATTGTACCACAAGTTTCCACACCACAAAGGGATGGTTAGGATTGGCTTTGGGGGGTTATGGCTCAGTCTGAATTAGGGGCAAAAAAATGGGTGGAAAACAAGTATTTCCTGATTAATGGACAATTACTTTAGCTTTGTTTCTTTATGTTGGTACTTTTTGCTATTTGTTTGCTAGTTCTAGTATGAAATATTTTTTAGCTGTTTCTAGAAACATCAAATACTGTGATTTAGATACATATAATATTATAATAGTGTATATCAAAGGGTTCAGTGGAAATAAATTTTTATACTCCGAATTGGTTATTCTTTGTTTGGTTTTTTTTTCCATTAGAGTTACCTCCCTTACAAACTTTGTTTGATTTCAACTAAAATTAAATTTTTGGGTTTTTTTTATATGCTGAATCTAACCATGTTGTTAAATTTTAGATATCAGACCATTCTAGGTAAATTAAATGTCCCATTTCAAATTTTTAAGATGTTTGACCACATTTATTTTGTGTCAGAAACCTGTATTATGTCAAAAAACTTTATCACAATCCAAATTCAGACAGTATCAAGCTTGAATATTGTGTCAAAACTTGCCCCAACTGTTCAGGGTTCGACCTCTGCGGTCGTATCAGGCTGCGCTCAGCGAAGCATTTTATTTAAAGTTAATTTACTTTTTAATTCTTTTACAAATTGATATAAATGGTTGTGGTTTGGTTTGTTTGTTCTCGGGTGAGCACTTGCCTCGAATTGAAATTTTAAAAATGACAAAACTAATGTAAGGTCTGTTCCACATTTTATGCCTTTGAAATATGGCAAAACTATTACATCTTATAAAATTTCACATAATGCAGCTAGAAACGAAGTCATGATCTCTCGGTTACTGTGATCACTAGATCGTATTTGTGATCAATAGATCACCTCTCAGTTTGTTTTTGAACTGATTTACATTTTGTCCTTTTAGGGTCTTGTATAACCTACTAATAGGTTTTGGTTTTGCTTGTTGTTGAAGGTTGTGCAGTGACCTTTTTTTTGCTTACAACTACATTACTTGATTTAAGGAATAATCTGCAGTACCACAAAAAAGGTTTGTTTAATTTGTGAAGTATGAGTTTCCAGTTTTCAACTGAGCTGCCAAAAAAACATTGATTGCATAGAATTTAGTTTTAGCAAATATTAAAGTACTTGAAAAGTTATTGAATCTGAATTATACAGAAAAGTCATAGAAATTTAAACTTTTGTTAATGTTGAGTGGTTAAAGATAACAGACCAATAATGTCTGGACCTGCATCAAACTGCTGTTTTAGAGAACAGCCTTTAGTGCAATAAAGATTGGAAAATTTTCAAGTGCTAGAATTTTGTCTAAGCAACCAAAATACATTTAAATGTATTGATAGAGATATAGCAGATCACATTTTTAAGAAAATTTACCTTACAGGAGTGGAGAAATATTGCATTGCTAGAGATTTAGTGATGGAATTTGGTTTTTTTTAAATGATTTTTAGATGATATGTAGATAGATTTTATCCTTCTTTTCCAATGATCTGCAAAAAGATGTGTTCTTTCTATGTGACATATTCAGGCATGGTCGCTTGTTTTCGTGACGTCACAATAGGAAATTCAGAGGAAAGCAAGAAAATTTGATGTCATAATTGAATTTTGACCAATGACGAATTGAGATCAAACAAACCACACATTGATTAAAAAAAAATAATTAGCAGGTCAGGAAAATGATAAATCAGCTAAGAATTGGAGAAAACTAATCATACAATGTATAGTGTTCTACTCTCTTTTTGGTAGGTTTCTGAATATAGTTACAATGGGGATATTTAGACCCAAATGCAAAGATTGGGTATGGTTGAAGTAAAACTTGGACTTACAAATGAGGTACATTCTATAGCATTCAATGACAAAAAATTCTGCACATCAAGAAACTTTAGAAAAAAAATCTATAAATTGAGAGGTGTAGATTTTCAATTTGTATGATCACTTCAAAGGAAACTTGGAGATGCTGATGACACAAACCTAATTCAATACCAAAAATTACTAAGTTCCACAAATGGGGAGAGTTTAAAAATGTTTAGGAAAATGGTTGAAGTTCTGAATGACCCAAACTAGGTACCTCTGTGTCTTTGATGAATAGAGTTGATGGGTTACCAGATCTGTTCTTGGCTCTGGCAATGCAAATTTAAAATTGGTTTTCTATGATATATGCAAAATAGGTCAGAGTGACCTATAGTATCCAGCTACCATACTCTTACCTGATTGCTGACCTAGTCCTAAGAATACATATTTATGCAAGTTGAAATCCTATTACTGATGGTAACAGATATTTGAACTTGGAGGTAAAACTTAACACACAAGTTGAGATGATTGTATTACTGAAAATAACATAGATATGAACTCTGAAGTAAAACTTAACTAAAGTCAATAAAGCATAAAATATGTCTGTGGCATAGTTTTGCCTGATTCTGCCCTTCCATAAAAGCATATGTACACAAGGTAAGATGATCATATTACTAAGTTACAGAGATATGAACTCTGTTATATAACTCAATTAAAGCCAGTGAAGTGTATGCACAGTGATATACTTTTGCCTGGCTACTGATCTAATAAAAAAAAAATGCATATTTACACATGTTTAGATCACTTATAGTTGCATGTTTTAAAGTAATAAACTTTTGCCTGGCTACTGATCTAATCCAAAACATGCAAATTTACACATGTTTAGCGGGTCTTATTACTTAAAGTTACATGCATTTAAGTGATATACTTTTGCCTGGCAGTTGATCTAATCCAAACAACAAATGCATATTTACCTTATTTTTATATTTACACATGTTGAGATAGTCCTATTATTTATAGTTGCACAAATAAACTTTGACTTAAATTCAACCGAAGGCAATGAAACTTTAATATGTGTCACTATGTGCATGGATGCTTATCTCCCTATAATGCATATTTACATTAGATCATCTCTATTACTAACATGAAAACAGCTGTAAAATATGACATAAAACTTTCCTAATATCAACTTGGCATAAACTTTAAGGATAATGTTTCCTTTTTATGTTGCAATGCTAAACACATGGAAATTTTATAAAAAATCTGCAGCCTTTCCCTTTGTACTCTTTTATTTAACAATTCAGTACTTAAAAGATAGAAGATTATTGCATGCAGTGCTAGCAATGATTTCTCTAAAACAAGTTTATAAATAAAGATATTGGTTAAAACAAGTATAAAAATGGACTTATCCAAGTACACCTTCAAGGGTGCGCTCGACTTAAGTGACTCAGCACGAGGTTTTTTTGGATTGTAAAGGTTGTTTTGGACTTTTTGTAGACAATAAAAGCAA